CCCAGAGCACAAGTCATCCCCATGACACAACACACTCCTTAAATTACAAAAAAAGTACTGACAAATGTTTGTTTTTATCAGTACGACCCTCCCCCTTCGCCACTCGTTATGATGATGCAGGTGTTAGGTTAGTTGGAACAATCTCCGTGTTACCTCTCGCGCGCACATCGGGGAGGACCCAAACTTGAAAGCCGCATCTGTAGTCGCGTTGTACCGTGGATGCGGTACACTTTTTGTTAACATGCATCTTGTTATACCGCAGCTGGTATGGGCAATTCATAGCTTCACCAAATTCGATTAGTTTCTTTCTGGCGATTCCAGTAGCTGGAGAAAAACCTTTGGTGGTATACGTCATGCTTACTTTTAATTTTAGTCGCCAGTAGAGTACCTTGTCCTTGACCTTAAAGGAAGAAAACTTTATAACTAGCGGGAGACATCTGGTAGGATTAAAGGAGCCGACTCGATGTGCGCGATAAATGTAATCTGGAGTAACCTGGAGCTGAAGGGAACGGGAAATAAGCTCAAGAACTTTTGTTTCACTTTTCGCCCATGTTTCTGACGCAACATTGGGAAGACCATGAATAATGAGGTTATCACGTCTTGAACGATCTTCCAGGTCATTAAGACGCTCGAGTAAGTTAAGGTTATCGTTCTGCAGAGCTTCAGTGACGCCCTGCATCTCTTGAAGGTCGTGGTCGATTATTTCAAGCGCAGAAACCTTACTTCCAACAAGAAGCAGTCGACTTCGAAATTCGTTAATTTTTGCTTTAATGGATTGCTGTTTTTTTTTTTATTTCTTCCATGGTTTTTATTAAACTGATCTGCTCCTCCTGTGACTTTATGGCACGAGTATTAAGGTCTTGCTGCAGCTTCCACGAATCAGCTAGTTGCGTCGCTTCGGGTACAGTCATGGGGCCGGGGTTAAGCTCTACGTCTCCAGAGAGTAATAGCAGTGACCTCCAAACATCGAGACATTCTAACAGTAACGCGGAAAAAACACTTGGGCACGGATACAGCAAGAGGCAATGGTTGTTAGTTTTTTTAGCGTGTAATGATGGAGCGTAACCAACCTGCACAAGGATGCACACAGCGTTAGAACGATGCATTTCTAAGCTGTTTCCATGCCCACTGAAGTATCCAAGGGCGCTCCGCGGTTTTAAAGCCAGGCCATCGGTAAGTGACGATGTCGATGTCGATGCGGAAACCCTCTCGAACGGAGTGAAGACACGCTGCGGTTGCGGCCAATCCGAGGCGTAATAACGGCGCATTATTGTCCAATAATGCGCCGTTATTGGTACCCCACTGTATAAATCGGATGTCAAATTATCATATGTTTGCAAAGTTGGACGATGTTGGAGAGCTAGTGGCATTTATTTTGATACATTCAATACCCTTTGCAATCAATTTTGTATTATTTTTTCTCCTCTCGCTCGCTATTAGAGAGTAATTTAATTCAGTATGATAAACTTGATGCCATATTCAAGGGGCTTTCAAAGCATCGTTTAATAGTGAAGTATTGGCAATTCCTCGAATGTACTGAATCACTTTTCTAATAGCCTTCAAATTTTGAGCTATACTTTAATATTGTACGGTAACTTTAATGACCTATTGAAATGTCGGTTATCCTGTGATAACCGACATCTCGGTTATCACAGGATAGCTGAGGTGTCGGTGTCCTTAGTTACTTTCAATATTCTTTCACCTGAAATGGTTTGAAAACTTCAATTGAATACCGCATCAATATCGGACTAATTTAATGTGCTACATTGACGGTTCCACGAAACATACACGGATCTTTAGCTCAATTGTGAACCTTATTGCTCTAACTTAGGACAAAACTAGGTAAGATGTTTTGTACACCACCACATTTACTCCAAGACACACGACCTAAATGCAAAGTTATAACCGCTGTAAGCGGATCCGAAACGCTCGAGGTGGAGCCAATTTTCTGCTTCGGTGGCATTTCAGAAGTTAAGACTGCGCAAGCACACCTTTGATGGGCGCCCAAAACATGGATGCGCACGTGCACTCCAAGCTTTCAATAGATTGCTACAGAATGTTGTTCGAAGGTAGATGAAGTTTCGCAATAACATAGCTTCATGGTGCTGAAGCTCCGCACTGCTGCAAGAGCACGTGGTTATTTTTTTTGAGTCTCATCCGGAAGCTACGCTGCTCTTGACGACACAGCACGTACTCAGATTTTATAAACAGCGCCAACCAATGTTGACGCTGTGGACACACTCGCGTCTACTGTGATCCTTTCTCGCAGTTCGTCATTTCATTCGTGTGCACTCTGCGAGCAATTTTTAACACAAACACAAAATACCCGCGATTTTGCATTCTACTTTGAAAGCGCATTGACATGCATTACTTTTTACCACTCGGATCAGTTACCCACAAGAGCACTTTTCGCTGCCCCCAAAATTTAATTGCAATCATTCAATTAAAGCAAATTGCAATCCCCTGTTCGCGCTAAGAAAGCCGCGCTAGAAGTACTCTGCTCGGGATACTTCTGCGGAGCCTTTCTTTAAGCAAAACTCCCATAGTTCCTGGACAGTCTCAAAACGTTCAGCCCATCTTAATGTAGTATTTGACCCAAGACAGGGAACGGTGCACAAAAACGAACGCAGTAACGATCAGTATAATATGCGCCTGCGTAAGCGCTCGTTAAATGGTCGTTATTAATGAAGGTTATAGTCATAGATCCTTATGACGCGGTAAATGGAAAGAATATGGTAACTTACAGGTTCCTAAACATTAAATTCGTTGGCACTGATAACTCTCCTAGCAAATCTAGACGGTCGTGTCAGAGATTAACGCATTTCAGAATTCCCGAATATTGTCTAATTTCAAGGCTGTGTTGGCGCTGAAAATGTGGCGTGCGTGTGGGGCGGTTTATTGTTTCGTGATTTATTTTGCAGAAAGATTGTTTTACTTGACAGAGTGGCGAATAGCATTTGGAAATGAATTGATGCTTTATCAGAGCGCGTTTCTTTCGTCACAAAAGTGATCTCCACGATTCATGTCTCCGGAAAGGCGCTCCAGAGTGAAAAGGCGCTCCAAAGCTCTTCAGATTTACCCTGCGATGTAAAGCAACACTCGCTACAAGACATCTTGGCCAATCCAGTGCTCCGAGAGTAACACGTGACACTTTCTGAGCTTTGGAATGACTGTGCTGGGTCCTAGCATTCGTTGCGGTCCATCGTAACATCAGTGCGAAGAACACCGCTCATCTGTGAGCGATGATGTTACACGGTAGATGATGTCTTTGAGGGCGAGCCGGATATTTCGTGCACCGCGCCGACGTCCCTCGAGACTACAGTGTTGAGTGAGCTGACTGTGCGCTTCATGCTATCGCACGGAACGGCTGTCCAGTTGGCTGCGCCAGAGCCCGAAAAGCCCCAGAATTCTCCCCGATACAATGTCTCCTGGGATTTGCCGGAAAGGTCTGTTGGTCGCATTATCTGTTAGAAACCATCAAGCATTACACGCAGAAAACAAAAAAAAAAAAAGAAAAACTGTATGTTTTTGTCTTCGTTCTTAGTGATGTGATCGATATTTATAAAAACATCGCTGCGCATTCGGTCGTCATTGTATTGTGCTTGACTGATTGCGCTGCACAGGCTCGTTCCCAAAGTAGTATCCTAATGTGGGTAGCCGGTTCATAAAATGAACCGATTCATTTATTTAGACAACACTGTGCTCCGTTTAATAGTACGATAGATTCTAGTGGACTTTACGAGCTATCATAGTCACTTTGGAATTTCAAGTGGCTACGCCTTACTGCGTTCCTGTCACTGATGAATGATCACAGGACATTTATTGATTTGAAATCGAAACAATAGCAGACTGCGTCTAAAAAGAATTCATCAGCGAAGGTTACATTGATCTTGAGAATCGAGAGTGTCACCTTGTGCAGTTTTACATTGAGCTAGTGGTAGAAACCATAAAATTAGAGTAGTGCAACACTAAACAAAACAAAATACAGAACGCAAGGAAATAAACCACAGATACTTTAATATTTTCACCCGATATTTCCAAACCCCCAGCTTGACACACACGCACACACACACACATATATATATATATATATATATATATATATATATATATATATATATATATATATATATATATATATATATATATATATACATATATATATATATATATACATATATATATATATTATATAACTTACAAAAGTAAATTGTTAGATGCAACATAGTTTAAAGAATTAAGAATATAAAATGAATAAAAAAAGAAAGGGGCCCGACGTCCGTCGACGTTTCGGCAGTGGCACTGCCTTGTTGAGGACGGGAGCCCACATGGCGTACTGGGCTAGTTTTATAAAAGATCTAGGGGAAGGGTTTGTGGACGCGAAAGTTGGAAGGGGCTCGTATGGAAAGAGAAGCAGGGGGGGGGGGGGGGACGAGTTTAATTTTGTCGCAATGAGAGAGGCGGTTGTGGGTCCTGTTCACAGGTACATTGGTGGTATGAAGGAGCTTGTAGGGAAAAGGAAGCATTAGCCCCCCCCCCCCCCCCCCCCCCCAAGGTATATTGGTGGTATGAAGGAGCTTGTAGGGAAAAGGAAGCATTAGCCCCCCCCCCCCCCCCCCCCCCCCAATGCTTCCCCTTCCCTAGAAGCCCCTTCATCTCGTTGCAATGAGGGATGACGGTTGTAGGTACTGTTCGCAGGTGCATTGGTGGCCTTTCCCCACAAGGCCCCGTCTGCCACCCATGCCCACCAATGCCGGGTCGATTTTTTTAAATATTTATCTTACTTCACCTATATATATATATATATATATATATATATATATATATATATATTCAGTTCCAGTAGTCGTATCAGTTTAGTTTAGAACATTTCTGCAAACTTTACAAAGCCACACAATACCTTTCAAATAAATGTCGTTCGATCGATTTTTTTTAATCAAAATCTGCACGAATCTTTCTTTCCTTTTTTCTCACACCAAGACAAGCATTTGTCAGGTGATTTAATGAAGCAGCTCAAGCTGTTTCTTATTGACTTTGCCGAGGCCGTTCTGTGGTATCTTCTCGACGATCTTGACGCCCCCATGAAGATGCATGTGTGGTCGAACTTGGCCTGAAGTGGAAAGAATAAGCAACAACTCAGTTCCATGAGTAAATTTATATAGAACACGGAAAGGAATTTTAGTACCTATTTCAAATGCTCTGTACTTAATGTGTACGCCATTTACTTGTTTAAATTTAAAATGTTCACGGTGCTATACACCATTCGCCATTTATTAAGAGTTCAAAAATGATATAATACTCTACATCAAGGTGACTGATATTTCTACTTGTTTTCCTAACTTTATTTGCTTGAGATTAAATTAATATTATATGTTTCAGTATGCCGATGTATATGTCTTGTATCGGCGTTTGTTTTGTTTCCCTAGGTTGTATTCTTTGAGTGTTAGTATTTGGTTCCATGTTTGATATTTGTGCAATCTGCGCCACATAGAACACCGGTTATGGTTCTTTCTGAGAGCAAACAAAAAATATTATTAATATTTGTATCATGGCTCTGATCATTATTGGGTGATTTCAGATAAGATCGACCAAAGGATGGCTAGTCGACATTTGCAAATCAACTGATGTTTTTATATGTTATTGTCTAGTGTCTGGTATGAACGAATCCAAACTTAGTTTTGACTAGAAAAAATACTTGGGGACAGGAAAAATCGTAAGGCATGAGGTGGACAGTTGCATTAACGCGCACTGATAGAGGGGGCCCGTTTGAGAGTGAATAACTAAAGCGATAACATTAGGAGAACTCTAATACGTTTTAGGCGCAAACTATGGGTGTAGCTTGCTTGTAATATAAAGTAATAATATTTATTTAAAATTTATTTATTTTTCTAAAAATTGGCAAACATGCCTGCTCGAACGACAAATGGCAAAATTTGGAGGTCTGTATCTCATGAAATAATTTAATCATTATGATATAATTTGCAGATATTATTCTACTAATATATAGCTAATATTTAAGAAATAACTAAGGTATCTGTGTGATACAATAGTTAGGATATATTTAGTCAAACATGGAAAAAAAATCAAACAAACAAAAATTCCGACGCGAATAAAAAAAAAACACCACCCTCGATTTTTGTTTAAATTTAGGTAACCTGTTATACTCTATTTCGGCATTCATTTCTATTAAAAACATGTTGCATCATTTTATTGAGAAAGAAGATACAACTCCCCAAAGTAGGGTCCTTTTTCAAAGCCTACACTTAGCAGTGTTTTATACAAGAACTGACTCTGAGTTCCAGTTTCATGAAACCAACACACATCTTTTATATATTTTTATTCACATGAGGCCAATGATAACTAAAGAAATCGTTCACACACTTAAATTAAGGAGAAACTACTGTGTACAAAGAGGTATCATATTACGGACTAGTGATCCGAGAAAAGATCATGAGCCATCGGCCACTAGGAACTTTGTTTACTTTATTCTCCTGCGACACTATATGCTATTCCCTCTTCCGCTCTACCTTCATCTCTCTCTCTCTCTCTCTCTCATATATATCCCTGATATATATCCAGAACAAAAACATGTTCAAGCATTCCCTTTCTGCGTGGTAGTGTTCTGTGGCTAGCAAAAATCATTTCCTCGCTAAGCTCACGATAATGGCAAAATAGTTGCCGGAAACCGCAGACGACACTCGTCGCTAGTTCTGGCAAAACGGCCGATACAATCTTTTTTTCGCATTTCCCCGCTCGCTGTCAAGGACAAGGGGGTTCGCTTCAACCAGCAAAACATGGCCGCTGACGCCTGTTTACTGAGCAGTCATGCCTGTCGCCATCTCACTCGCTGGCGTCACGGGCGATAATATCAGGCACAAAGGGGCACACCAACCGGCCGCATTATCCCCAAATACTCGAGCCTCGCGTAAATACATAGAGTGTAAACGCTGTCGCCATGTTATCGTAGTAAGACCGCCCCCCCCCCCTCCCCCGACGGGGGACTGCAGTACGCGACGGCGTACTAACACAACGGCGACGATATCGACATCGCGGGCTCCGAATTTTCCCATAGTTCTACTCCACGGGCATTTCTCGAAACGCTTGATATTTTGTACGCCCGCCTGGAAGGATTTCAGGCGCGTAGTTAAGATAAGGCGGTTCTCCGCGGCAAAAGAAAGCAATTTCACAAAAGCTTAAAAGCGGCGGCGACGCGTGTGCGGTGAACGCTTGTAGTTTTGGTGTAGACAGGGTGTGTGTGTTCTCGTTGTTGACACCAGCCGGCGATAAGGCACTGCAGGCGGTAGCTCAGTACAGCAAGGGCTAATCCGAGTGACCATCAACGTAACCCCACCGCCAACCCCTCGCGAACCGGTCGCCGACATGGCTCAGGCTGTGTCATGAACCACGTGGTAGAAGCTCGGGTCCTTTCATATCAGCGCGTCGAGGGACGACAGTGCGATTCCGGAAAGTCTTTTTCGAAGGCCGCTGACCACAATTTTTTGTCTGGAGACTTTCCCTCTTTCTTCCTTTGACGTGGATCAAGCTTTGCCGACAGCCTCAGTTGTGACCTCTCTTTTCAAATGTACGTTTGCAGTGAGTGAGCTCCTCAGCCTCGGACTTGTCACTTGTGCACCCAGTAGTTCTTTCACTTGTCAATTATATGCCATCAGTTGGGGTTTAATTTCTATTATTTATGTATACATTATGAAGACGTCCTGGAGCTCCGAACGAGTGTTTTGTGCAGATTAGTTTTGCAAACACAAAAAGACTATACCAAAGCAGCGGAATTTTCGAAGTGTTGGCGAGTTGGACCATAACTCGTTGAAGCAAATTCTTCCGCCTGACTGTTCCACCAAAGTGAGTGCGACGGACTACATGTGCTACCATTGCTTCATGCACATCACTAAGGAGATCTCGATGCGAAGCTCAGAGCAGTGCCCTGACATATTTGTGCCAGCTGAAGAAGCAATTGAAGATCTAAATCGCAGCATACTACCTACAGATGTGTCGCCGCTGAGACAACCAAGCGTCGTATAAGTCGGGACAGGCCTGCCTATGTCAAGAGAAAGCAGACAGAACTGGAGCAGGTTGCTGTCAAGAATATACGCTCAAGGCTACGTATTGCGTACGACAGGGACGCACCATCGGGGTCGTCCGAACCAACATGCTCCACATGCACTGAGTGGGTGGACAACTTTCGGCAGGCCTTTGAAACCGCCACCTCTCTCCGGGAACGTTGTCAACTGCTTACGCTCCTGCCGTCAACACTGACGAAGAATGAGGTTCAAAAGATGATTCCACAGGCCTCAATGTACCTCATCAGTAAATCCCGAAAACTCAAGGAAAAGCATGGCGTGTGGTATGAGCCGGATCCTTACACGATGTGCAAGGTGAGCCCTGAGAACCTGTCTGCTACCCTAGAGTACTTCACGAAAGACGAGCTACAATGTTCGCGCCGAAGTCCCAACCAGAAGGACGTCATCTCTGTCATGCTCAACGGAGAGAAAACGTTCGTGCCAAAGCGCTTCATGACACGCTCAATACGAGAGACCTTCCGTATATGCAAAGACAAGCATCCCGATTCCGGCGTTGGGCTAACGAAATTTTATTCGTTGCGCCCTAGATGGGTCCAATGTATTCCACACCAGGAAGTGTGCGTTTGTGTGCGCTGCGCCAATTATTATCTTTGTATTGCCGCTCTAGAGAACGTTACAGGCTCGACATTCAACACTGGGGAAATGAACTCGGCATTTCTGTGCGACCCAGCAACAGAACTGTGCCTTCAAGGAGACTGTGATCACTGCCGAAAAGGCCAGTTTCTTACACTCCAGGAACTTGATATCCCGGAGGATGAAGAGATTGTACTTGCAACATGGGAGTCCGGCGACCTTGTGAAAAAAACTTTGGAACCTGAGACTTTCCTAAAAGTCATCCAAGTGACGGTTGGAAGTTGGGTACTTCACAACCATATCCGGCAAACGCAAGGTAAAGCGATCTACGATGAAAAACAGTGCATGCAACGCGGGAGCATTGTCTTTCATTTTGACTTTGCTGAAAACTGGACCATCGTGCTTCCTGACGAAGTGCAAGCATATCACTGGAAAAAAAAAACAAGTTTCGATATTTACATGTGTAGTGACGACAAGAAAATCTACAAACAGCTTTGCCATCATCAGTGAGGACCTGTGTCACGACGCCGCTCACGCTTGCTTGGCTCTAGAAAAAGTGAAGGAGTGGGTTGAAGACAACGTTGCGGTATACTCGTACGTGACATACGTAAGTGACGGCGCCGCCAGTCATTTCAAGAATCGCTACTAGCTTCACCAATTTGCAAAGGACGATTGCCCACAAGCCCAGTGGTTATTTTCTGCATCTGGACATGGGAAAAATGCATGTGACGGTGTTGGCGGACTCGTGAAGCACCAGGCCACGCTGAACAACCTGAGAGAACGTTCAGTAAGCGCAATTCAGACGGCCAGGACAATGGTGAGCGTTCTATCAAAGAAACTGAAAGGCGTGCATCTTGTATATCTGGACGAAAATGAGGTTGTTCGGTATCGTGAACAAAAAAAAAGAAGAGTGGCTGACGGTGCGCGCCTTCCCTGGCATTCAGTCTTGGCACGCGTGGCGGCTCAGCAAGTCATCAACAGAAGGGACCTGTGGCGTATATGTAGCACGGACAGTCGGATCTGCTTGGAAGCAACTTTATTAAATGGGTACAGCGAGGAAAACCTTAGCGTAAAGTGCCGAATTTGATTTCCCAAGGACTGCTCATTTTGAATGCAGGGACGTCTTATTTATCACATTTTTCTTCACGGGGTATTTAACCTACTGTTTTTGTTGGTGGTTACTAATAATTTTTATCTGATCACTATAAAAAAAATCCCAAAATGTTATCCTCGAGCAGGATAAAATATATCGGCTTGCCACGATTCATTCATACACCGAGAGCATCGAAGCTGCTCCAGTTAGGCACTATGGCATCCGTCACCTGAAATTGTTTGTAATCGTAAATACACAGCCAACCTAAATATCTTACAATTATATCTTTGTTTTTGTGTGTGGAAGTAAAGTTATTTATTTTACTCTAGATGTAAAATATACCGGAAG